GGAAAGTCTATCAGTTAGTCGAATCTTGGATCCAGGAGGAACAATGGAACACATGGGAATGTAGAGAGACAAAATTACACAAAAGTATCATCTTTCAAAAACTTATGGACCTTGTTGTATCGTCTCTTAGAGGCCTGTCAATACCAAAATATGTAGAAACGTATGCATGCAAATAAATTAGAGTCATATCTGACTTATCTGTTGCAGAAGGACATGTTCAGACATAAAATCGATCAATTCATTTTTTTCTGAACCAGTAGCATCAGTTCACACATCACCTGCTGCTTTCTTCTGGAAACTGGTGAGATATGTCAAAGGTGTACATGTGTGCGGTACATTTCAGGTGAACGCGTCCCACACACATATTGAGGAAGCTGAAGAAAACCGAGCGCAGACCCAGAAAGCAGAGGAGCAGACTGAGGAGTGTCTGTTTGACATGGTAAGAGCCAGCAGGGTTTGATGATAGTAACGTTTTTCCACAGATAGAATAAAAATGACTGATTCAAAAGCATATGAATAATTGTCATGACAGTCAACGTCTTCGGCCAGCATGTATGAGAGCTCAGATGAAACTGTAGTTGGGTTAGGTTATTGGACAGTTTTGGCTCATGTGAAATCTAATGTGCAGGAGGTGACATATTGTTGATGTGCTGTTAAATCAGCGACAGTTTTTTAAAACCACGTTTTCAGGCTTTAAGGGAAAAAACACGCCAATATAGAAAATGTCAATAAATATTGACTTTCTGCGTAAAACATAACGACACTGCACAAAAGTCTGGGTGTACTAGTGGTGCAAGTGTCAGGCTGGAGTGGGTGAGTGGGTGTAGTGTTAGGTCAGTGCAGTGGTTAGTGTGAAGGTGATCTTGTTTAAAAAGTTCAGGGCAGTTGAGGAAAGATGACGAAGGGAAGGTCTCTGTTCCTGCAGTGACTCATAAAGGCAAATATGCAGATGATGGAGATGGCTAAACTTCACAGCAGTGGACGGAGATGATACACTGCTTTCCAGTGGCCCATAGGCTTGTTTGAAGTTCACTGGCTGACAGAAGTCATCAGTATGGACAACGATTGCCTTGTGATGGTTTTCAACAGCTGCAGATTAGTTGGAGTAATATCTTTCACACAGACACCAGCAGAGCACAAGGTCAGACCATAGGAGCACCGATACGAACCACCATGAGTTAATGCAGACTTGGAGCCGATGAGGTTCAGCCGGGTGGCAGCAGTAAGGCTGAGTCAGTGGTGTCTGTGAGGCAGAAACCAAGATGGTGTCAAACCTTCATACTGCTCTGGAGCAGATGATTGGTCCACACCTGGGCTGGTCTTTCAGGTGACCCCGAACTGGAGAGCATCTACATTTTCCATTTAATAACATTCCTTGATCTAACATTCCTGGTGTTTCATGAGCACAGAGAGGTGCGTCACAATTCCTTTGCTCACATACTGTCCTCCTTTATTCGTTAAAGACCCAGTAATTCATTCAAGTCTGTGGTTGAACCCAACACCTCGCCACTGAAACGTCTAAAACTGTGTAAGGGACCACATGAAGTCATCTGAACATGAGACCTGCGTGTGTTTGACTAGAACTGAAACATCGAAGTGGACAGCCTGAATAAAACTAATTGTAGACACAAAATCTAAATAAGGAAACATGGGCAGCGTCCTGGACCCAAATTTGAATTTGTTCTCTTTATTCTTTCTTTTAATGCTGAT